ATCAAATCATATAAGTCACATAAAATACTTAGGCAATTTATAACATTTACTCGACTAACTCAATTTAATGAAAAACGATTCTGATTTAACTTTAATGTCGAGCCAACTGAAAAATAAAATTCTAAGAGATTTATTAAGGCTTGGAAATATAAAAGATCATTATTAATAAAAGTAAAATAGTTCTAACTTAGAACTGAAATAATTACTTTTATTAATTACTGAATGGGATATTACAATCTACCCCTCTTAAATTTATTTCCGTCCTCAGAAATACTAAAACTGAGATACATACCTTCTGAGTACATATCAGAACTCAAAATCTGGAAAACGAGCTCTAATATCAGCCTCCCGCTCCCAAGTGGCATTTGACTCTCCGTGGCGATTCCATCTAATACGAACGAGGGGAATATCTCGATTCCTGAGTCGATGAACCTTTCGGTCCAAAACTGCTACTGGCTGCTCCTCATAAGTTAAATCAGGCTGAATCTGAATCTCATTGTGCTGAAGCACATGCTCTGGATCGCACACGTATGCACGTAACATCGATACGTGAAAAACATTATGCACACTTGACAACTTGGGAGGTAAAGCTAAGCGATAAGATACTTCTCCAACTCACTCCAGAACTTCAAATGGACCTATATAACGAGGATGCAACTTGCCTCTCTTCCCGAAACGAACGACACCTCACATCGGTCGAACGTTCAAGAATACTTTATCTCCAACTTCAAACTGCATCTCCCTTCTGTGCTTATCGGCTGAAGACTTTTGACGACTCTGAGCAGTCTTTAGCCTTTCTCGAATCCAGCCTACTTGCTCAACTGTCTCTTCTATCATCTTCGGAGCAAGGACTCGTCTCTCTCCAACATCATCCCAAGAAAGAGGCGAACGACACTTACGGCCATAAAGTGCTTCATACGGAGCCATATGAATTGATGTGTGGTAACTATTATTGTAAGCAAACTCTACTAATTGTAACCACTTCTCCCACTTGGCATCTCTATCCAGAATACAAGCTCTGAGCATATTCTCGAGCGTCTGAATAGTCCTTTCTGACTGGCCATCTGTCTCTGGATGATAAGCCGAACTAAACTTCAATTGTGTGCCCATTGCCTCATGCAAACTCTCCCAAAATCTGCTAGTGAATCTGGGATCTCGATCGGATATGATCGTAACAGGCACTCCATGGAGTCGAATGATTCCACTAGTATAAATCTCGGCTAACTGGTCCATTGACATGGTCATTGTTACAGGCATAAAGTGTGCGACTTTCGTCAATCTGTCCACTACTACCCAAATCGCATCATGCTGTTTAAATGACTTAGGTAGCCCTGTAACAAAATCCATGGTAACTTCTTCCCATTTCCACTTTGGAATTTCAAGTGGTTGTAACAGACCTAATGGACTCTTGTGCTCTGCCTTAACTTGCTGACAGACCAAACACTTCTTTACAAAGTCTGTTACATCTCTTTTCATCCCTTTCCACCAAAACGACTTTTTCAAGTCATGATACATTTTGGTGCTTCCAGGGTGAGCTAAATAAGGCGCACTGTGTGCTTTTGTCA